TGGGACCACGTGTGCACGCACGCTACCTGGCAACACAGGTGGTGACTGCGATCAGCTCTGCCAACACACCTGGGACAAGCGCCCCCATCAAATCACCAACAGCGGCCTGTGCTGTTGTTCGGCGTCCTGCCTCGGCGACAGCTACCACCAGGTCAAGGCCCCGTGTGACTGAGGTGACTCGGCAGACACCGCCGGCTAGTTACCAGGTGATTTCGACTTCTTCCTGGGGAACAGACAGTGCGCACTTTGCAGCCTCCTGGCAGGCGGGCGTGGGGAGGCCGCCAAGTTGGAGTCAGGGCAGGGTGACCAGGACTGTCGCACTCCACGCCAGGCCCACGCCAGGCCCACGGCGGCCCGGAGCACGCTCCGTGACACCCGGGTTCCTGGGGAGAGAAGGTGAGAGCTGCCGGCAGCCCGGGGCTCGGGACGCCCGCGTGGAGCACGGACCCCTGCTGGCGGGAACATCGTCCTCCCGTCCCGCCGAGAGCAAGAGACAGACTTCCGCTGTGTTTGAGTGGGCCCGGGTGTCACCCTGCTGGGGGCAGGCGCTGTGACACACAGCTGTCCTAGCGAATGGCCACACTGGCACATCTAAGAAAAAAACTCGACACCTAAAACTCCCGAGTATTGGGCAAAAACAGTTGTGTTCACTCCTCCGTGGCCCTCGTCTGTGAGCCTAAGGAACAGGTGGAAGTCTGGGGGCCCAGCCCCTCCCCAAAAAGGGAGCCCGTGCGGACAGAGGGGCCTCCAAGCGAGTGCGGGGCGCAGCTGGCTGCCCCGCTAGGGGACCCCGCCTCCTGGGGAGGCTTGCGTACCCGTGTAACCACAATGGTTACGTCTAGGTCACTGCCTTTATTACGTGTGGATGATTTTTTTGTTTTTAGCAAAGAAAACGCAACTGGTTTTCTGAAAGCCCACCTAAAAGGTCAAGTTGTCCCAGCATGGTTCGCATCCGTTTCCCATCAGACTGGGCCTGTGCGTCCCGGAGTCTGAGGGCGTTTGCTCCGCGTCCGACACGCAGGAGGCGTTCCGTGAAGTCTCCCAGGGACCACGGAGGAAGGAATTCAGAAACACACGAGGCCTCATTGTTTCACTCCTGCTCGTGACGTTCGTAATTACTTCCGGTATCACCCACATCACGAATGAAAACAGTTTTTATTTCTGGGCAGTCATAATTGTATGCTATCCCATCAGACAATAAAACATTATGAGCTGGGGCACATTCAGCCCGAAGACGGAGTGATGTATTCACTTCTTGATCAGGTGCCAGGACGAACAGATGAATGTGAACAGACGTCAATAATTACAGCTTGGACCGGAGCTGCTGGCTTCTAACCCTTTAAGTTCAATGAACAAGTAATAACTGGACAGACACACCCTTCAGAATTAGAGGTGAGAAGAGATGACCTCACTTGGTACCTGTCACAGAGAAGGACCCCCGGCAGCCAGCCATTGGGGGGAGGCGGCCCATGGGCTCAGAGGGGGGGTGGGCGGGGCTTCCAGAAGGCAGGAGGGAGCAGCAGGCGGGGGGGGAGACTGGCACAGGGGCTCCCAGGGCCAGGGCCTCTCTCTCGGGCCCACCCTCCCTCCTCCCTTCATCCCTTCTGTGCCTCCTTAAGAAACCTGGTCTGCCTACAAAAGGCACATAGCTAATTAAAAAAAAATTCTAGGCTTTTTGGACTTAAATCTAAAAAGGGGTTACTAACACTAATAAAAAGATAATTATTCCTCGGCTAATTCTGGATTTTACAGGCCCGTCTTAAAACACAGCACACGGCCTGGCATTTAATGGGCATTCCTACCAAAGGCCTGTCCTTACGGTCCAGGGCTCGGGCTCCCCCAGGCCAGTGGGGCGGGGGGCTGCTCCGGCAGCTGGGCTGCGTCTGAAGAAAGTCCAGCAGAAGGCGCACCCCCGCCCCCCCTCCCCCCCCCCGCCGAGCACTCACCAGGGAACACAGGGAGCTACTGCTGAGATGCCTGGGCTTCATTTTCACCTGGGAGCTCAGAGGCCTGGTCCTTGAAGTTTCCTCCAGACACTCCGGGCCTGCGGGGGGTGGCCCGCCCTGTCCCTGCCTGGCGTCGAGAGCGCCCCCGCCCCCAGCAAGCCTCTGTGCTAACGGCAAGCCGCCACACTGCAGACGTGTGGGGGCTCCTCTGCTTTTACAGTGAGGAGGGGGTGAGGGGAGGGTACAATAATAAAGGCTCAAGAATGCAGCTCTGCCCACTCTGTCAAAACCCACAGAGCACCCCCTCGAACGACGTGGAAAACGAGTCACGCCGTGCTGTCTCAGTCAGCTACACAGGCCAAGGGCATACATGGACCCAATAACGTTCAGGCGGCTCAGTGACATCCCCCCTGCCCCCCACACAGACGCCACTCGAGAGCAGGACGCTTCTCACTAGGCACCTGAAGACCCGTCACCATGGTCGAAGGCACTGATGCCACAAGTACCAGTCTGCGTTTGGTTCTGGGAAAGATTTCCACGTACATGTTTTGTCCAAATATTACTCTTTGTTTCATGCAAGTCAGCGAAGACTTTAGCAGAGTGTAAATTTTAAGCCGATAAACAAACAGTTGGCTTGAAAAAAAATATTAAACTGACATGAAAAGCATTCATTCCTCTGCCAGACACTAAAAATACAAGTGACTGCGGCCAATGTGGAAAACTCAGAACTGTTCCTGGTGGGTCCGAATTGCACTACCAGGTGGCACTACATTGTTTTTCCAAAACGGTGTCTGACAAACATCACCCAGTTTTCCTAAACTTTTTCTTAAAAAGAAGAAGAAAAGCGCCATTGGAATCTTATTGAAATATCAACGGTATGCAATACTTTTCATAGTGTAGTAAGACATACATTTTAAAACGTAGTATCTTCACCTAGCAAATGAAAATTTGGACATTTTGAAAATTAATTTTCATATTTCAAAAATTGCAAACCTGTCTTATCCGAGTAGACAATAAGCTAAGTTATTAAAATATTTAAAAGATAACACTCTAGACAAAAGGCACCAGGGTCATCGGGAGGTTTTTCAACGTGAGGTTCTCAGCTGCTGTTGCTGGAAGTTCAGATAACATTTCATTCCTGTCCTTGGCCCGCCCCTCCCTTAACTGCCTCTCTAAAAAAATAAGTGCGTTTAAAATACGGAGTATGAGATTTATGATCAGTTGCAGAAACCTGTTTAACTACTGATTTATAGCTTTGGCCAAGGTATTTAACTCTGTCATCGGAACTAATTACAGCCCACCTGAGATTACACAGCCGAACCCTCCTCGTGGTGAGAGAAGCAGACGCGCTGCTGAGCAGCAGGAGCGGCCCGGGGGCTCCCCGGCAGGAACACACCACCGACTCCCCTCTCCGTCCAGAACCGGCACCGCTAAAGCTCAAAATGACTGTTCTTCGGTGAGTTGTTTCAGCCCGGAGTACTCAATAAATCACAGTTACATGAACGCCATGCGGATGGCCTGAAACGTATTCATCCCCGTTGGCTGTAACTGACACTTACACGACTCATCTAAGGCAGGCATTCCGGGGGCGGGGAGCGAGCGCGCACGTCCGAGCCTCAGGAACCGCGGTTATTACCGACGCAGAGAGAACCCTCACTTTGCTGTGGCCACGTGAAGAGGACAAATGACTGCACTTTTTAAGCAACGTGGGCACTCCAAGAATAATGTTCCCATTTTGATGCTTTAATGAGCAAAATGTCTAATTCGAATTAAAGCTCATAAAACTAAACTGATTCCAAATGACAGGCCAGCAGGGCGAGCCCAAGACGGCAGGTCCCTTCCTTCCCCCCGAATCCCTGCCTCCCACTGCCCACCCCCACCCCTCCTGCTGCCCCACGTTCCGAAGCTTCTCGCACACAACCCAGGCCTCCGGCGGGTGGGGTCTGGTGACCCCCTTACCGTAGGCGTCCCCTGCTACATCTGATTTTGCCATCACGCCCCCCACTCAGTTCAAAAGCCCCACCCACGTCAGGCCGTGGGGCAGAGTGGGCAAGCGCTGGCGCGGGGAGCAGCTGAAGGAGGGCTCCCAACCAGACGGGGCCCAGAGGAGGCCACTCTGGCAGGGCCTGGGCGCGAGCGGACTGTGAGCCGTGGCTGCGGGGCCCACTGAATGCGCCAGGGAAGTGGACACGGGAAAGAAAGCCACGGCGGCAGCTGCCCGGGGACGTGCCGGCCCTGCCCCCGCTCAGAGAGAACACTTCGAGTCACAGACAAAACCACTGGGCTGCACAGTGGGTTTTTTTAAAGGAAAGGTTCCTATACTGGAAGTTTACAGTCACCTATTAGGACTGTAAAATGATATGTTGCAGGTAAGCAGTATATGATTGTATCTGTAAAATGCAACAGGAGATAATAAATCATAAAGTGTAAGATTTTGCAATGTTTGATCTGAACACTTCTTTTGTGGTGAAGTCTGTAAGCAGATAATCTGAAAGCCTGCTCTCTCTATTCTGGCTTTTCTCACCTAAGTGGAAGCAAGATACGATTTTTGTTCCCTTAATTAGCAATTTGCTTATTCCAGAACACAGATAAAACACTAAACATGCCGACAATAAGTTAGTAAAATTATGTTACTACTATAAACCTAAGAATCACAAAATAATAATAGAATTATAATCATGACTCATTTCCTATGTTCCTACATTTATCTGTTGTCAACCCAGAGAAAGTCTGTATCGGACAGCTAGAAGACCTCTGATGAAGGGTGAAGGAGGAAGGTGAACTAATGAAAACCACGGTAAGTAGTTCTTAATCTCCACTGAGCACCTGGTGGGGAGGTGCTAAAACACCTAAGGCCTGCCAAAAAATCAAAGCATCCAGCTGCGGTCTTGGTACCAGCTGGTGACACGATGTCTCAAACCCCTTTCTAGTCAGGACGGTGACACACCCCTCTCATGAAACCCACTTCCCACAGCACCAAACCCCAACTTTGGCTGGTTGATGCTTTAATCTTTCAAGGAGCAATGGAGGAGTAAAAATAATCAAACCACATTCTTAGAAGGTCCAAAGTTGTATTGTCTTCAGTAATAACATTCTAATATAATTATACCATTTTCTCGTCTAAGAATCAGCTCATCATTTAAAGAATGACACAACTCAGAGATATTTAGGAAAACGTTTCCAAGCAGAGCTGGATTTAAATCATCCTCCAAACACTACATTCTGTCTTTTTATTGCAATATTTTATCTGAAGGTACACTAAAACTAACCAATTGCTTTTATTACGTGACTGTCAAGTATCAACTCTACTGCATCCAATAAAGAACCAATAATTGCTTCTAAAACATTACGATACAGTCGTTTGTAAAACAGCATCCATTGAGACTTTCTTACATTTATGACTAATCCATTATAAACAAATGCCAATCTTAAAAAACACAATTCCGGAAAAGTGCAGTTACACTGAGTACAGGTAAGAAGGCACAGGGAGCTCACTGGCTACGCTGTGCCAGATGGATGGAAAGTAAAACCGACTGTATAACGTAGGTCCCTGTGAACAAATAAACAAACCCCGACCCTTTCCCCGTGTGTATGCTCCAAGTCCCCGCACAACTACCCACCAGAACGTTCCATCCCACTCACTTCAATAGAATGAACTCTAGAAAAAGACTGATAATCAACCCCCGGATTTTATGCTTGTTGTCCTACTTCTACCAATTTTCTGACATATTTAACACAGGCAGGAGTGTCTTTTCGGCCAGCCGAGCAACTGCAGACTCGAGCACAACCCCAGGAAAGACAGACGTCTGGAAGGACGCGGCAGGTCACATGTACCCCATGTTGCTCTTGGTTTCCCATCTCTTCTTCGCCTCAAACCTGAAACAAAGGACACAAATATCTCCATTTATCTCTAAAATATTTTTACTACAGCTGCATGTTTACGAAGTGCCAAAGCAAAACAAACTTAAATTTTCACAGACTCCATCGATCACAAAACGCACACCAGGCAGGATAAAGAAATGCCCGTGTCTACAGTCTCCCGGACGCTCAGCACAAACGCCAAGAGCAACCACGAAGCACAAACTGGATCCGCAAAACGTGTCACAGCGTGTGCTCGTGTCTGTGAAGTTCAGAGAATGACCACTAGAACCTTAAACTTACCCCCATGCAAGTTTCTTCTTCTTTCGAGCAACCTGTGAATTCTCAGCTTCCTTTTTGGCTTTTACGAAGTTATGGCAGGCGATTGCTTTGGCAATTTTTACACCAAGCTAAGAATCAGAAGAAAGAGTAAAAATAAATATTCCAGCTAATGCACGAATACAAACGCCTGAGCACTGGGGGACACGGAAGCTGTGTCAGGAAATGAGGAACTCCTGCGTGCATGACCCCGTGAACCTCCAGTGCCGTGGGAGCTCAGGGCGACATGGATGCGGCCCGTGCCCCACTTCCCACCCCCAGACCTTCCCCCCGGCTGCGCCCGTCTCCCGGATGGAAATCCTTCCCACACCGAGGCCCCTGGAGGGTCCACGCAGGCTGAGATGAAGATCTGCAGGCTATTTCGGCACTTCAGCGGGCTGAGCAGGAATGTGCCCCTGATAAGGCTGCACGGACCGACAGAGACATCCAGTCCCTTTGCTCTGGGCTAGAATTACAGCGACTCGGTATGGTCACACCAGTTATCTCATGCTGATCAGAAGCTCTGACTGGCAGTCAGAGATGTGATTAATAAAACATGGGAAAGCTAATTACTCCTTCATAAGCGCACTTTATATGATGAGCAACAGCTTTTAATTCACTGATAGAAAAAAATACAACGGATGCTCAGAGGTGAAAAGGTTGGGCACCGGGACCCCGGTACCCGAGTCCTCCCTCCGCTGGTCCCTCTGTTCCTACTCCTCCCGACACCCACCCGCCAGTCCCGGAAGGTCCAATCAGAGTGACGCCTCCTCCTCTCCCACCCTACGAGGCCTTCTCTAACTTGACCTCTTTGTTTCTGCATCTCTCCTGCATCTCTCCTGCATCTCTCCAGCTCGTGGGCTTCCACGGCTACCACGCCGCTCCGCCCAGCTCCCCGCTGCAGTGCGCCTCCTTAGGAAGCGTCTCCAGGACAAGCACGGTGACCCGGTTTTAGTGGGCTCTGGCTTTAAAGATACCCGTCTACACAATGGCTCCAAAGTCATCTGTTAAGAACCCAGGCTAGACAACAAAGGCTAGACAACTCCTTCCGGTGTTCCTTACCGTTTCTATTCCTGTACTCAACCTAATGCATGTTAGCGGACAGCAGACTTAAGGGAGAGAAAACAAGGACTGGGAGCCACTCGGAGCCAACGTACTGAAGCTCGAGTTTCAGGAATCTGTTCGCCAAGGGGGAGACAGAGTCTGCGCGCGGAAGCAGAGAAGCCAAGTGAGCTGCGGCGTGCTCCACCTTCTTCCGGCTCATCGGCGGGAACAGTGTCCTTTAAAGTGAAGCTAATGAGTAGCAATCAAGCACTGCCTGGGGTTCTAAATGAGAGCAAGACCAGATCTGACTTTCCCATCCGGGAAGAGTCTATATAAAGGATGGAACGCAAGGAGGCGACCTGACAGTTACACCAGGCTCAACAGCAGCAGGAAGGCCACTGAAGAACAGGTGACCTGCTGAGACCTGAGAGCCCGCCGGAGCAGGCAGGCCGACCTGTGTCTTCTCAACCCCCCACGCCCCGCACCGCCGTGAGTCGCCTTCCCGCACAAGGGTAACGAGCACTCAGCGAGCACTGTGAGGGCACAAGGGACTGTTCTGCCGGACACCGCTCTAGGCCCCGGAGACAGAGCCCCGGACAAGAGGGCTCCGTTTCCAGTGTGGGGCTGGGGAGACGGGCTGCCGGTGACATTACACTGCTTTAAGACTGCACTTGGGCTCTTGGTTCTCCTTTTATTTCCAGGTCTTCGTTAATTAAAAGTTCATCTAAGTCAACTACTAAAAAAGGGCCACGACAAGGGCTGTGGCATCGCCCCCCCCAGAGGAACGGAACCCTGGGAGGATGCTGTGGTGTGCTTTGTCAGTAGGGAGGGTTTCCTATCCACCGGGGATCTGTGTGTCCTGAGTGAAAAGTCAGGCTAGCACCTGCCGGGCGGGGCTCATCAGAACTGCAGCATCAAACGAATCCCCAAATCCCACCAGCTGAACTTCTATCCTCGTTTCACGTCAAGTCAGCAGCGGACTGCAGGGCTCTCCACCACCTTGTGGTACCGGCGTCTCAACACGGGGCTTCCGAGCCGAGTCCACCACGGCAGAGGAAGACACAGCCGGAGGGTCTCACCCGGCTCCTGAAAGCTTTAGTCCAGAAGTGACAGTGGTCACGTCTGCTCACAGCCCTCGGGCCAGAACTACTACATGGCACCACCTACACGCAAGGCGGCTGGGAACACGGGGCCCTGGGGGACACCAGACCGGGAGAGCAGGAAGTGCGCCCAATGAGCAGCCTGCTGCTGTGCAGCACAGCTCGCTGCCTGTGCTTAAGTTGCACCCTGGGGCCCGGCTGCTGTGGCTCCGTGGGCTGCGCACTGTCCCGCACACAGAAAGTTGCGGGTTCGTCCCCGGTCAGGGTGGGTACCAGAGGCACCCAATCAATGTTTCTCTCTCACATCGATGTTTCTTTCCCTGTGTTTCTCCCTCCCTTCACCTTGCTCTAAAAACAAATAAAATCTTTAAAGAAAAAAAAAAAAGATGTAAACTGGGCCTCTCCACATTTCTGTTGAATATGAAGTCTCTGCCCTGCCCCCACTTCCAAAAGGTAAAACAGAGAACCACACATTTCTACTTAATTATGTTCCTATGTGTTGTATGAATAACGAACGCAAACTTTGCCAATTTAAAAAAAACAACAAAATCCCACTCAGTTTACATTTCAATTGAGCTTACACTTTGAGTATGAAACAAAAGGACCTGAACATACTTGCCACATACCACTAACCATGTGACCAAGTTATTTTCTAAAACTGTTGTGAATTAAGATGTTTCTTACATTTTAACTTTCTGAAATTTTCCAATATGGGTTTCCTCAAGTTGAGACAGAGAAACCAGGGAGCATCTCAATGTGTCTGAACGTGTGGTCGCTTGACTTAAACGGGCTCTTCGTCTCAACACGGTCACAGGCTCTGAGGATGCAAGCTTCCCGTTTCCCGGCACTGCAAACGCCAGACCCAGCACGACCAGCGTCACAGCCAAGGTTTAGCACGTACGTTCCCTAAGACGTGGTATGAACTTGTAAAAAGCCATTCGTTATAATGTACAAAACACATATTTACAGGAGAGGGTGCCATTTGGTGGACTTAGTAAATATAATAATTGGGTACATAGGCAATATACGTTCAAACAGATCTGTTCATGTAAAAGCTCTATTTTCCATCTGTATTTTGCCTTGGATTAGGCTAAATGGAATGTTCTTCAACTGATAAACATTAAACAAGCCTGGTCTATGTATTTTACAGGAAGAATCTTTTAAGCTTGCACTGATGATGAAAAATCCTATCAATTCTGTGTCCTTCAAATCCTTAAAATAAATGTTTCACTTATTCTTGCGGAGAATTGCAAAGTAGAACTGTTTGAAAATGTGAAAGAGTAAGATCTTCTATGCAAGAGACAGGAGAGAAGAAACCATTCTGCTAGGCCAGATGACTAACCCGGGGTCCAGAGATAAAAGAGTATCGCGCTATGTTTCAGTATTACAAACAAGTAATATAGGCCAACGGGAATCCCCATTCATTTCTGTGGAAAGAAAAATGCTTCTTCATGCCCAAGTAAACATCACAAAAGCTTGGTCAATGGTTTCTATATAAAAAAACTGTTTCGGGTCATCAGATAACCACAGCAACACAATGTGGGAAGACATTTTTTAAAATGAGTAAAAAATACATACAGAATTTCTTGTATGTGTAGCCAAAGTATCAGCATTTTCCATATAGAACATCCAATATTTTGCTGCATTTTAATTAAGGTGTCTAAACATTATCACAAAGAACTGCAAATTGGTCAGAGCAAGCGGTAAGGAAAATTAAGCTCTAAAGGCTTTTTA